CGAGACAGGCACTTTAACCAACTAAGCCACAGCGCCTAATTTGTGCCAATTTACATCAGAGGTAACTGTAGTCAGGTTTTGAGCTACAAGGAAAATAATGTAATTATATTTTCTCAATGATGAAATCCCCAAAAAATATTTTGTGAAGAAAAGATGTATTTTGTTAAGGCACCGCTGGGATTTGAACCCAGTATCTCCTGTTTACGAGACAGGCACTTTAACCAACTAAGCCACAGCGCCTTATTTGTGCCAATTTACATCAGAGGTAACAGTAGTCAGGTTTTGAGCTACAAGGAAAATAATTTAATTATATTTTAACAATGATGAAATCCCAAAAATTATTTTGTGAAGAAAAGATGTATTTTAAGGCAAAGCTGAGATTTGACCCCAGGATCTCCTGTTTACGAGACTGGCACTTTAACCAACTAAGCCACAGCACCTAATTTGTGCCAATTTACATCAGAGGTCACTGTAGTCAGGTTTTGAGCTACAAGGAAAATAATGTAATTATATTTTCTCAATGATGAAATCCCAAAAATTATTTTGTGAAGAAAAGATGTATTTCTATGAGGCACCGCTGGGAATTAAACCCAAGATTTCCTGTTTAGGAGACAGGAACTTTAACCTTCTAAGCCACAGTGCCTTGTCTTTCACAATTCACAACAGAGGTAATTGTAGTAAGGTTTTGAGCTTCGAGGAAAAAAATTTGATTATATTTAATCAATGATGAAATCCCAAAAATTATTTTGCGAAGAAAAGATGTATTTTATTAAGGCACCGCTGGGATTTGAACCCAGGATCTCCTGTTCACAAGACAGGCACTTTAACCAACTAAGCCACAGCGCCTTATTTGTGCCAATTTACATCAGAGGTAACTGTAGTCAGGTTTGCAGCTACAAGGAAAATAATGTAATTATATTTTCTCAATGATGAAATCCCAAAAATTATTTTGTGAAGAAAAGATGTATTTTGTTAAGGCATCGCTGGGATTTGAACCCAGGATCTCCTGTTTACAAGACAGGCACTTTAACCAACTAAGCCACAGCGCCTTATTTGTGCCAATATACATCAGAGGTAACAGTAGTCAGGTTTTCAGCTACAAGGAAAATAATTTAATTATATTTTCTCAATGATGAAATCCCAAAAATTCTTTTGTGAAGAAAAGATGTGTTTTATTAAGGCACCGCTTGGATTTGAACCCAGGATCTCCTGTTTACTACACAGGCACTTTAACCAACTAAGCCACAGCGCCTTGTTTATTCCAATATACATCAGAGGTAACTGTAGTCATGTTTTGAGCTACAAGGAAAATAATTTAATTATATTTTTACAATGATGAAATCCCAAAAAATATTTTGTGAAGAAAAGATGTGTTTTATTAAGGCACCGCTGGGAATTAAACCCAGGATCTAATGTTTATGAGACAGGGACTTTAACCTACTAAGCCACGGTGCCTTGCTATGCCAAATCACAACAGAGGAAATTGTAATCAGGTTTTGAGCTTCAAGGAAACCAAAAATTAATCGACACAACACTTACTTAAAATACGAAAATGATGACTCTGGTGGGACTCGAACCCACAACCTTTGAATGCCTTCTTCTCTCACCTAGAAGTCCAATGCGCTGTCCATTGCGCCACAGAGCCCCACAGTTTTTCAGTCACTCCTTCTGCGCCCACAGGAAAAGAAATGGGAAAATCCCAAATAAGAGACACCTAACTGTAGTCAGGTTTTAAGCTACAAGGAAAATTATATTTAATCAATGATGAAATCCCAAAAGTTATTTTGCGAAGAAAAGATCTATTTTATTAAGGCACCGCTGGGATTTGAACCCAAGATCTCCTGTTTACAAGACGGGCACTTTAACCAACTAAGCCACAGCGCCTTATTTGTGCCAATTTACATCAGAGGTAACTGTAGTCAGGTTTTGAGCTACAAGGAAAATAATGTTATTATATTTAATCAATGATGAAATCCCAAAAATTATTTTGTGAAGAAAAGAGGTATTTTGTTAAGGCACCGCAGGGATTTGAAACCAGGACCCCCTGTTTACGAGACAGGCACTTTAACCAACTAAGCCACAGCGCCTTATTTGTGCCAAGTTACATCAGAGGTAACAGTAGTCAGGTTTTGAGCTACAAGGAAAATAATTTAATTATATTTTAACAATGATGGAATCCCAAAAATTATTTTGTGAAGAAAAGATGTATTTCTATGAGGCACTGCTGGGAATTAAACCCATGATATCCTGATTAGGAGACAGGAACTTTAACCTACTAAGCCACAGTGCCATGTCTTTCACAATTCACAACAGAGGTAATTGTAGTAAGGTTTTGAGCTTCAAGGAAACCAAATATTAATCGACTCAAAACTTACTTAGAATGCCACTGACTCTGGTGGGACTCGAACCCTCACCCTTTAAATGCATTCTTCTGTCCCAGAAGTCCAATGCGCTGTCCATTGCGCCACAGAGCCCCACTGTTTTTCAGTCACTCCTTCTGCGCCCGCAGGAAAAGAAATGGGAAAATCCCAAATATGAGACACCTAACTGTAGTCAGGTTTTAAGCTACAAGGAAAATAATTCAATTATATTTTCTCAATGATGAAATCCCAAAAATTCTTTTGTGAAGAAAAGATGTATTTTATTAAGGCACTGCTTGGATTTGAACCCAGGATCTCCTGTTTACGAGACAGGCACTTTAACCAACTAAGCCACAGC